AAAATGTCTGTCCAGTCATCAGTACCATTGGCCTTGGAGAATTCTGTAGGCCAGTCAACGTTTAGGTCAGCTGTGTTCCTTATGAGGCTGTCATGGAGTTAAATGAGACTTTGTTGATTAAGTGGTGGTTTACTAAAGTTTTTCAGAGGAAAAATAGGGTGTGGTCTGTAGTGCTATCTGGATTACCCCGATTTAAGGGGGGCTAGTATATTGGGCCATATGTGGTTATTATGGTTGCATTGTCTCAGTGAGCCTGGTTTTGGGTTTTGTTATTGTTGGTATGAGGGAAATGGTTGTTCATTTGTTATGAAAACAGTTAAGGTGATCTCTGTAAGCCAAGGTTTATGTTGAAGGTTTCCCCTAAGAGAAGGGGGTGCTTATTCATTTGTCTGTTTGTTATTTGTGACTTTAATTTTTTACTGAAATTTTGGGGTTTTGTGTGGGTATCTGGTAAATGGCACCCTTGTTTAGGCGTTTTAAAGGTTTTTACAGTAAAAAAATTGCAAAATTATTTTCCCCCTATTCATCCTAAAGCAAGTGGGGCTAATACAAATAATTGGTTAAGGGAATAGATTTCATTCCCCCCAACTTGGTTTGGTCGCGTTGTGAAAATTTCTGTGTATCCTGGTAGAGGTAGAATCTATTGTGTCCGCTTAAGCCAGGTTCAGTAAGAATAATGCAGGAGAAGGGTGTCTTTTTGTGTTCAGGATGCTTGGGGGGTCATCTAGTTTTGCTTAAGGACCTATGTTGTAGGTTAAGACTGATTTTTGACTTTTAGATTGTTTGGTGTGCTGGCTTGTGAGCTGGTAAAAAAGGCAGTTATTTCCAATAGGTTTTGATTGGGTGTCCCGATTATGGAGGTTTAGATCGGGTCAACGTGATCAAACATCTTTTAGGTTTAAAATTTTGGTTATTTATATCCTGAGTTGTGTGTTGGTTTGTAGATATTGTAGTGGTAGGAAGTTTTGGGCAAGATTAGCTAGAGTATTTTGGTCATGGAGAGTATAGTCACACTACAATAATGAATTGTGTTGTCATGTGTTTGCTGGAAGAACTTTAAAATACAACTGGGATAAACTAGTATATAAAAAAAACAAATTAAAAATAGAACAAGGGCTCTCATTTTTATTGCCTAAGGTCTAATAATACTTTTGTGGAGTCTATGTTTTTTTAGAGAATGAGCTATAGTACAATAGTTTAATCTAATAATATAAAAATACAAATTAAAAATAGCATGTCTTCACTAGTAATTTCACTAAGGTCTAATTAGTGAATTTGGTATTGTAGTATTGGTTTAGAATGAGCTATGGTACAACTGAATTTAACTAATAAAAAATACAAATTAAAAATAACCCCTTTTCACTAGTAATTGCACTATGGTCTAATAAAAGGAATTTGGTTGACTAGTATTTAGCTAGAAAAGCTTAGTAATACTAGGTTTAGTTAATAATATTTAAAAATACAAATTCAAATGCACCTTCTCTAACTATAACTGCACAGGTCTAATAATTTAATTTGGTATTGCTATGTATGAGCAGAAGACTAGGTTTAAAAATTTTTTAATTAAAAATATAATAAAGGCACAAGCACTCAATTGTAATTGATAAGGTCTTATATAAAATTTTTTTTACAAAAATTAGAAAAATAATTAGATTTAAATTGAAGGAAAAATACAAAAATGAAAATCAAAAGTATTTGGGGTATTGAATTTTAGGGGGGCACAAATTTATGACAATATAACACAAAAACGGGGGACTATGGGTATTATCGCACTTTACCTAAATTTGTTAGTCCAGCCTCCTTGGGAATGTTTTAAGGTCTGTTCTTAAGATAAGTATCTTTTCCCAGTGGGCTTTTTTCCTAACTGCGATTTTTCCATCCCTCACAAAGCATGTGGATTTTTTGGGCAAGCGTAATTTTCTTAGCCGAAAAAAGGTTTTGTTTGTTTTGGTAAGGACCGTTGACGTAAACATCAGTTTTCATAAAATAGATGTTTTTAGTAGGTTTTTTTCTTTGTGGCTAGTTAAAAATTTTAACCACTTTTTTTTTTACCTCTTGGTGCCCATCATTTTGCAATCCTTTTTGGCGTCACTACGTTTTTAAAGGGGCGAAGGGGGTCCTTGATAAGCGTAGGGTGGTCTCCATGCAGGTCTCTTGGGTGACTGTAGCAAACCCTCTTGATGTTCCATTAAAATTTGGCAATCATCTGGTCCGTTTTTCTCAGGACTCCTCTATGCCCCTCGTTTTTTTCCTAAAGTCTGCCAGAATTAGTCCCCCCGGGCTTTTCTTCTTAGAAGAACAGTATAATGTGCCTTTTACACTTCGGGAACGGGAGGAACGCTCTTTTTTCCCAAATCATGGGCAGCTGGGCCTGCGACATTCATATTTATGCACAACATTTACATCAGTCACCCCCTTGCGCCTTTTAAACCCCTTAAAAACTTATTTGGTAAAAGGGATTTTTCCCCCATTGGAAATCTCCTTGTTCTCCCTTTCTGAAACCCGGGTACTACGGGAAAAGATGCCTCCCACACGCCCATTGTCTTACTATGCAGTTTGCAAATGAAGGAACGTCTGGAAAAACGCGTTTAAATTGTATTTAGAGACACCCAACAGTCTCTCCATTAGCATATGCTTTCGAAATAACAATCTACCATAGATCCCTTATTCCCTTTGGGATATGTATGTTCGAATCCCTTTTGTGTAACCCTATTATGCCTATTTTTTTTACCTAAAAAGGCTAAAAAATTGGAGGTATAATATTTTGGCCCACCCCACCCTTGGGCTCCGAGGCAATCTATACCCTTTTCTTAAGAATTTAAAAACTGACAAACACGGAAATGTCTGAGTTAATAATGGCTCTCCCGGACTTTGCCAAGCTAAAAGGTGTCTTCAGGAGTGTTTACACAACTTTTTTTTCTCCTTGCTATAAAAAGATTTTGGGCCCCTGTTCTTCCTCCAATATTTGGCATCACTCTATGTTGATGATTTGCATTGCTTGTGCAGGCGCGACTGCACCCATTACAGTTTCTCTCCCGCATGAGCGACCTTTTTTCCAATTGGGCCACAACGCATGGGTTTAAATTTTCCAGTACTAAAAAACCCCCATCATGGGGTGAATGATGGTGAAAATTTTTCTTTTTCGGGCCCCCCTGCCTTGGGGGAATCGGGCCCGTGTGAAATAATAAAAAAAATAAAACTCCCAAAATTTTCCATCCTTGTCTGATCCTGTGATGCCCATTATTATTTTTTTAAATAAAAAAGAAGCGCTAAAGCCACAAGGGCTATACAGCGCTGCTAATGCCCTTGTTTTCCTATATGTGCCTTACGATCTCCGCAATCCTTCCATTTATGAAGGGTCCCCGGGAATTAGACTTTCTTCTTTTGTTCGCCCCCCTTTTGCTCGCCCCTTCTCTCTTCCCTACTTTTCTTTCGTCTTCCCTTCAGTTCCCCCTTTTATTGTTCAGTAGCACTCCTTTTCCCTACACCCCTGGGAAGTTCCAGCTGTTCGGATCTGTTCTTTCTAAATCCCTTGTTTGAAAGCCCAACTGCCTACGGTGGCCCCCCGCTCTCTTTCTTGACCATTTTCCACTCTCATTCTCATCCCATCGCATTTTACAAGTGGCTCTAAGTCTTCGCGGGTGGGGTTTGCAGCAGTTTCCGGACAGCGTCGGAAAGGGATTTACTTCTTCGGCTAGCATTTTTACTGCTGAATTGTATGCCATTCTTGCAGCACTTATTCGATGCATCTATCCTGTGTTTCACTTGGGTTTTCAGACTCCCTTAGTCCTACAGGCTTACGGAAAATTTTTGATACCCTCACCCCCTAGTTCTCCTACCATTTTGGGTTATGCCGTATCTTACCAAGCAAAAGATAGCTTTTTTGTTGGGTCCCTGGTATTTGACGTACAGGGCAAGACAGACACACCGGGGGGTTCAGAAACATGACCCCCCAATTTTCAGTGGGGGTTTCATTCCAGACTATTTTGCTTGTGCTACCCCCCTTTACACCCTTGGGGGAAACAACTTTGGTAACTCTACTCGATAAAAACTTCTTTCTTTTAAACCGGAAAAGGTTAAGGGCCGTCTTCTTGCATCAGGGGGGTTTGGGGAGACTACTCTCCCCCGCCTTGCATTGGCCCCCACTCGCCTCATGGGTATCTCGTGGGACCCCTGTGAGAAGTGTCAATTTCCGTATCGATTAGCCCCAAAGTTACTGCCCCCCCCTATCAACGGCACACAGAGTTTACCTCCCGTGTCTCCCCTTTGCTTTTTACCTTCCCTTTTTGGATGGCCCCCCCTTTAAAACCTGACTCTTCATTGCTTTTTACGAGATTTACTCCACAAACTCGAAACTTTTCCTCCCCCCACCCCCTTTTTACCTCAATCTTTCCCGCCCTCTACCCTTTCACTTCCCCTGCCCCCGCTGTTTCTCCATAACCCACACTTGTCCATCCCCCTTTTGCCACCTATGCCCCGCTTCCTCCTGCCCTGCACGCGTTTAGCGTTTGTTTTGATTATAATTTCCTATTCTCCACCCTCAAGTCCCAATAAGCAAAAAACCCTGCCCTGCACACTGTGTGGCCCTTGATTTTTTAAAGTAATTTTTCAACATACATTCTTTTCATCATCACAAATTAAAACAAATCAGTGGAGAATGGAGCTTATGAAGTAATAAAACTAATTATAAATAAAAAATTTTTATTTAACAAAATATATCCATAACCAGTTTGTAAACAATGGGACCTTAGTATTATCCTCAGTACACCATGGTAATAAATTAATATACCACAGTTGGCTAGCATGTCAAAGTGTAAAAATATGACAGATCAGTTACTATTAGTCAAACATAAAATAAATATTATGATTTGTGTACATTTAATATTGTGACCATTTATCAATGGAAAGATTTAAAACTAAACTAATTTGTTCAACAGATTACAATCACAAAATAAAATATGGCCCTACCTGTCATGTTAAAAGGTTTAAAATGGTTTGTGGCCTTAAATGTCTTGCATAACATTAGAATTTAATTTACATGGGACCTGTGCTGTATGACCCTTGTAGGTTTAGCACTTTTTACAATACACATGACAGACTTTCAAAATGACAAAAATTACTTATGTACCAGTAATAAATAAATGCAGATGTTCAATGACAGGAAAAAAAAAAAAATCAAAAATGCAAGAACCACCTTGCCACACTAGTAAATGATTATAAATTATCACACTTATTTAAAAAAAAAAAAATCTCTTGGGCCAACTGACATTCCCTATGCAATTTCTTTTATACTGATTTTTCACCACTGGTACATACAAACTTTTGTTAGATCGGCTGTAATAATAATTAAAAATATCAGCAGTGCTCTATGACTTGTGGGTTTAGCACTTGGTTTTGATATATAATCAGACTTGTTAAAGATCACGTGTGAAACTATGTGGGGATCTAATGAATCAAAGGATGAGAACAATAGAAAATCAATGAAAGAATTAACCCTGAAAATTAAAATTTTTTTATATGAATCAGTTCTACAGCCACTATCTTTAAACCGATTAGTATTTTTTTTCACTAATGTAAAGTTCATAATTCAGAGAATTGACTTTTACAAGAAACATAATCGATTTAAAAAGGGTGAAATTTAGCAAACTTCCCCTCCCCCTCAAAAAATATGCCAATAATTTAACACCAACTATAAAACAATACAGCAAATACAATAAGAATTAAAAAAACTATGGCAAATATAACCCTAATACAGCCTCTCCTCACTTAGACGTACTTGTTTACCGACGCCTCGGACTTATGATGGGATCTTTGACCAGTATTCATACCTAAATAATGTATATTACAGCTGATTTCCTCTATTCTGTTTATTTCAATATACAGTACACTACTGTACAAACATTTAAAAATATACCAGAAATGTTATAAAACGGTGCAAAGGTGACATTAAACAATATCAAAGATGGCTAAACAAAACTCTACCATTATAGTAGGCTCCTCACTTAGTGACAAATTCATTTAATGACGTGGTCTCAGGAATGGAACTCTTAAGTGAGGATAGGTTGTACTTGCTATACAATTATTTAATACTAAAACTCTGTATCCTTTTAGGAAAACTACCTTATCCCATGTCACAACTAATGTGAAATCACAGCCTTTGACTAAGATATTTTCACAAGCATTAGGGAGTTATACTTTTTCTATATTACTATGGTAGCAATCTTTCACTGAAGAAAATGACCTTATCACTTATAAATTATAACTTAATGAGAATCTCTAAAACAGCATTAGCACTTGCTGCTGCTGCAGCATTTACGCTGAGCCTGAACAAATTCTGGATAATCAATAAATCCATCTTTATTCTTATCATCCTGAAGTAAAATTGGATCTATCATATTTACCAGCTCGTCATCAGTAAAGAGCTTTGGTTCAGGTGGAGGATGGCCAGTCTTTCCAGCATCATGGTTGGCTGCATCATGCCAATGAAGAGAAGATTTGATAAGTTCCTGCCCATCAAGCTTATTGTTGTTATCTGCATCATGCATTTTGAAGTAATGAAACTGCAATTCCTGTTCAGACATTCCTGATGTATCAATCGGAACCTCGAGATGATCTTTGAGATGGTCACGCTCCTTGCTAAATTGGGGTTGTGCAGGACTCTCTGGTTGTGATGCTGATGACCTCCGCCAACCTGCTGTGGTTGCTGCAAATGAAGCATTTTTTGAAAAGGGGTTGTGCAACAAACTGCAAATCTGAAGTAGGGACAAGCTTAAATGGCAAGTATCAGTTTAAATAACTAAATTACGGGTATGCCGAAGTTCTTAAATCTCTATTCCCTGGAAAACAAAGGTTTTCTAACTGGGCTTTCAAATTACTTATGACAGCAGAAGGTACTGCAGATGGTGTGAAATACCCCTGAAGAAAAACAAGGGAGCAATAAATAAAAGTACACTAACCCTATAGCATTTTAAGAGAAAAAAAAAAAATGACCGTTGTTTGGATTAAAACGCGACTTTGAGGGTGTATTTTCATATAGTATTTATTGTTGTATTCTCATTTCATGGTCTCACGTGATAAAATGGAAAAAATTATTACAGAAATAGAGATGATTTTGATTAGTTTCACGGCAAAAACAACCTGGAAATTGAGCTCAAAGTAGCGGAAATGTTCGATTTTTAATAATGTTCAGGAGTAAGCAAATCACACCACACGTCCAATACACGTCAACTGGGGAGTCTAATACTCTTTCACTAGTGCACTGATATTATTTATGTTGTGTGGGGTTCGGAAGGAGATGGATGGATAAGGTAAACTCACTTGTTGGATGGTAACGCTATATTGTCAGACTGTGGTAATGGGAGATGGAGGGAGCCCAGCCTGCCATGTTCTGCCTTCTTCTATGCCTATGCGTCGGCTGAGAGGGAGGCAGCTTGTCTCACTGACTCATGCTGTATCCCGTGACGTCATACAGTTACTCGGCCTAGGGATCTTCTATATAAAGCACATGGATGGTACTATGATACGCTATACAACACATATAAGGGGATCAGCAACTTGCTGACATTTTATACCATTTTTACAATAAATGCAGTAGTCTGCATAACAGTAAATTTTGTATTTTTTGTATGAATAAAAAATCAAAATAGAAAGCAATAGTAATATAAGAGGGGCCTAGAGACGTGACTAATGAACAGAGGATATGTTATTTTAGTGCCAAGAATGTCTACATTGTTTATTCTGGACCTTATTTGAAATTGGCATTTTTTTTAATTTGTGTGAAATTGGCCAAATTGCCAATTTCTGACCACGTTATTGGGTACTTCAAATCGGTAAATGGGTGGTTTCTTGTACTCAACTGATAGACAAAATGGAGTTCTAAAGAAATAGCTATGAGTTTGGTCAACTGGAACAACAGAATTGACCAAAAACAGGGCTCAAAGTCGGTGAAATCGCCGATGCGTGTATGTCACAGAGACCGCTAAACTTCACGCGAGCGTAATTCCATGAGTTTTGACCAAATTTCGTACTTTTGGTGTCATTACCATCGGGAAAAGATTCTCTAATCATTTCATAAGAAAATTTTTTTTTTCTCAAAAATTTTGCGACATAGAATGAGTTTCAGAAAGGGGCTTGCAACAGTCAAAGGGTTAATCAATTTACTTAGAAGTGAAAATTATTGTAATTCGCATTTAAGTGTACGTATTTTGTAATTTTAAAACCATGTATTTTTTAATAAAATAAATACCTTGTACACTTAATACTTCTACTACCCTACATTTATCATCAATGTATTATTTATTTAGGTTAGGTTAGGTAAGGTTCGTCAGGAAACAGGACAAATGTTTCCTGACGCGGGTCTTAGTCAGATGATGACCCGCCTTTGGAGCTTTTGGTCATCTGACCGAGGCCTTCCGCTGGCTTACCGGTCCACCGCTTTAAAAATTATGGTCATTTATAACCACCGTTACCATATATATATTATTAATTATAAAAAAATTAAAAACATTTCTCCAATGGGCCATGAAATGGTTTAGGATGTGCATGGTTTGTCGAAGCATGATGTGCATAGTTTGTCGAGACAAGTCATCTCAAAATTTTAAAAATATTCAGGAGCAAAAATCTTAGAAAGGGCTAAATAAGTACAGTAGGGCCCACTTATACGGCGGGTTAGGTTTCCAGGCTGTCGCCCGGAAAAGCAGACATCGCCGGAAGGCAGAAACTCCATTTTTTTCCATTTATAAATGCATATAAATGCCAGACAACAAGTTTACACTAAATTATATTAAGTTAGTAATAGAACTAGGCATTAAAAACACACAAAGTAAAATACAGTCACAGTAAATTCATTACTTATCTTTAAGTATTTGTAATCTTAATATAGGGAGAGAGGTGAGTAGTACTTATTTGTAGGAAGTCAGGTGCAGGTAGCCCAGGTGTAGGTAGCACTGGCTCCCCGTCTCACACTTAATATACGATATTTAAAACATCCCAGAGAGGTAAAATGCACATACAGTACACTCATTATTTACCTTAAAATATGTGTAGTATTAATATAGGAAGAGAGGCGAGTAGTATTTATTTGTATAAAGTCATGTAGGTACCCGGGTAGTGTAGCCTGGGCTAAACCTACCGGCTACCTACACTGTGGCCCAGAGCCATATTATTAACATCGACATGCCTTGTTCACTGAATTTAAAATCATTCAAACCCAACTACCTTTAGATGCCATCATAAACGAAGGTAGAAGCAATGAATAATTCATGCCAAAAATTGTAAACAAAAGCGGAGTGGGGGAGTGGCTGGGCCAAACGCAGATTCATACACGTTTTTTTCTGATGGCTGAACAGAGAAAACGTAATGTTGTCCCTCCACCCGGCTCCACAAGTATTATCATCAGAGCATATAAAATATGCAATAAATGCCAGACAACAAGTTTACACTAACTTATATTAACCCTTTCAGGGTCCGTCCCGTAGATCTACGGCTTCAGTTAGTGTCCAAACCGTAGATCTACGCCAAAATTCTAGCGCCGTAAATTTAGCGCGAAAACGCTCATAGGCCTACATGTGAGAGAACGGGTCTGCGTGGTGGGTGTGCGCCATAAACAAAAAATCTAGGCGCCCGCATAGCATTGTGGGAACGCCGGCTCAGTTACCCTTGTTCACCATGCCTCGTCGCAAGTCAGCTCTCACCCCCCGGGAAAAAATTGGGACTCTCCTCTTCCTATCTGATAGTTCTGACCTGATGGAAGTGGAAATGAAGACGAATTCTACGGCTTTGATCAGTTAGTGACCGAAAAAATGACCAGGATATCGTAATAGTGCAGAAAACCCTGACGATCCCCCAACCTTCTACCTCTGGTGTGGGCACTCGTAAACTCACGGTCGGTTGTTCCTCATCGTAAGAGAAAACAAATATTTTCGCGTGGCCAGGCCTCTGACTTCGGTAATGATGATGAAGTGACTGGACTGTGATTTTTTGCGCTCGACGATCATTCGAGTAAGATAGTGAGGAATCATATTCACCAGTGAAGGTCGGTATGTTCCCGCCCATGCGCTCGGGTAGTGTACCCTATGCTGTGCCCAGGGGACGGAGTACATCCCGGAGTACATCCCGTGGCCCCAACACCAGTTTTAGGTAGTGATAGGAGGATGATGTGGCTACACTTGGCATGGATAGACCACAGGCATCAGTGATGGTGTTAGTGGTGATGGAAAGTGGCACCGCCATGCGTGACTCACCAGGCACGCTGGGACCCACGCTGCGACTCGTCAGTTCAAGGACAAAGCGGAGCCCCAGCCACCAGCCCCCACCCACAACCAGCCCCTTTTGATGTCCAGTACCCACCAGAAAAACCTTTATGGGGATTGGCAGCAAAAATCCCAATTTTGTTCCCAAGCCTCACCATTTTTGATGACTCTCAAAGTGGAATTCTACCTACTTGTCCCCTTGGAACCACGGCCAATGAACTGGAATTCTTTAAATTATTCTTTGACCACCCCATGATGGAAATTATTGTCAGGGAAAGAAATAAGTTTTGGGAGTACACCATGGCAAATACGATCTTATCACCACAGTCAAGCTACACAGGTGGAAATAACGACTTTTTGCGAAATGTATTTGCTTTTGCAACAATAATGCTTATGCCTCACGTCTATAACATAATATAAAAAGCATACTGGTCCACAGATCAGCTAATTTCTACCCCGGTCTTCAGTGAAATCATACCATGAACAGGTTTATCTTACTCTTACGTAGTTGCATTTCTCTGACAAAACCAGGCCTGACAGAAGTGACAGGTTATACAAGATTAGAAGGTTTTCATGTATCTCAAACAAAAGTTCAGCATATACTTTTATCCATTCAAGAATCTTGTAATTGACGAGTCTTTGTTTTTTTCAAAGGTAGACTGTCAAATTTAAGCAATATATACCGAGCAAGAGAAACGCTTTGGTATAAAACTGTTTGTACTCTGTGATTGTGACAGTGGCCTGTGTTGGATATTGTTGATACACGGGTAGTAAAACATTGAAAGATACCAAGATGTTATTGGGTATCTCAGGTGACGTAGTGAGAAACATGATGGCACCTTATCTTGGTAAGGGGCATACATTTATATACCGATAACTGGTTTCACAAGCCCATTACTCAGCGATTTCATGCGAGTGAACAAGACAGATGTGGGGGCACAGTGCGTTCTAATCGAAACATATGCCCAGGCTCAACGCAGGTGCTCGTGGTGATGACGGTGCAGGTGTTTACTGCCAATGACATCATGCATTAAAGGTGGCATGACAAACGAGATGTCACATTGTTGACAACCATTTACCGTAATGAAATGCAAGACGTGGCAAAGTTGATCGAGTGACTAATTAACGTATTCAAAAACCCGTGAAGTGATTGATTATACACAAAACATGCGCTTGGTTGACAAATGTGACATGCAGATTGGTTTTGTTGACTGTGTTCGTAAGAGTTACAAGTGGTACATGAAACTTTTTTTTCCATTCATGGACATTTCAATGCTCAATGCATAAATATGTACCAAATAAAGACTGGCAACAGACCACCGTATGGTGAATTTTGTTTGTCTGTTGTCAGACAACTCATAATGAAGTACCAGGTAAGAACACCCGATACAACATGGTCCTCGAATTCCTCAGGATATACCCAAGCGTTTGAGGAGGGAAGGTGATCATTTCA